CATAGTTAAGACAGTAATGGCATCATAACGACCGATAACCGACACCAAAACAGCATCTGATTCCGAAACAAATCTGGAGCAGTAAAACGAGAGAAAAAGGACGCGCGTGTCAGTAACGAGGCTAAACGGATGCCGCGTACAAGTAACAAGGCTCGACGGGTTCGATTCCCGCTGTGCTACAGGGCCGATCGCGTGCGCTTGGTTGCCAGCTGTATGAAATTTCCCTAGGCATAGCAGTCCGGTCCGTTACCTGTATCCCGGATAGAAGTATGTAATTTATCGGAATGTTTCTAAGAACTTAAAACTAACATAGCTAATTCTAGATGGATACCTATAATACCTAAAAGCCCAAAATACATTATTATGTTCTTTATATCTTTTAAATATGCTAGGTATTTTTACTTTTATATGTGGTAGAGCCACACGAATATATTACAAACTAGCTGTTCCCCGCGACTTTGCCCGCGTGGAATTTATTAAGATTGGATTTCATGGGTTTTAATTTTTTTTGCGCGGATCCTAATTTTTTTATCTAAAATAAAAGTAGCCTAAACTACTCCTTATAACATCAGCTATCTGCCAGTAAAAATCAACGAAAGCAGTCAAAATCAAAAATCAAAAATTTAAATTTTTTTTTGTTACAAGTATCAATACACTTCAATTTTATTTATGTATATAGATGAATTGATTAAACGGCGAAGTGTCACGCTCGCAGATTACTAGAGTATAAGATAATAATGTTGCCGTGTTTCGTACGCTGTTGCTGTGTCGTAGACGAGAACCAGAGATTCTTACTCTTAACTGAAGCTGCAACTTATTCCTCTGGACGATGTCGAATTTGCATTTAGTAGAAGTTAATTTTCAATCTCAACCTCTTACCGTTACTTATAGGCATAAAACCGATTAAAAAGTAAATTACAATATAAATGCGAAAGCAATTATGATATAGAATATATGGCGCAATAACGAGACCGCAAGAGAGCATGGTCAATCCATGCCAATTCGCCAGCCAAGTGATTATACCAAATTGTCCCTCCGAACAGTAGAGAACAGTGTCAGACGTTCAATGAGTATGTTTTTTTTTTGTACAGAACAAGAGTGACAAACGAGCACAAAAAACACCTGTAGTGGATGTTGTGGCACATAGACACATTTATTATTAATAAAGAATCAAAATGCATATGAGTTGTCACCCCTGAGGACTAAGACGAAATAACTAGTTTCCAGTTAAAAAAGGTCTCCGGTTCCCTACACTCGCCATACGAATGATGAGACGAATGAAACGATGTATGTAAACAACTATGTTTTAATGATTTTTTTTTAAACTAGTTACGTGACACATGCTAGAGCTTGATAGTAATACTCGTATTATGTTCTGTGGACGTTTGTCATTTAAGTTTGAAAAGTTATTTTAGTTATCTTCTAAAATGAAATGCGCGTTTTTGAATCTACTACATATATTTTATTTATTTCTACTAAAGGAAAACTATATTATATTCCCCCAAAACAGAAGAGACTCTACATAAAACTGTTAACAATATAAACTAACGCCATCTAGTACAAAAGGTTGGAAAAGCGAGCCTAGTGCAACCTCCGAAATATTGTGTTATGTTACTTAAGCAGAGCTAAAGAGGCCGCTTCAATATGTTAGATGAAACTTTATTTAAGAGAAAATCGAATGTCATCGGATAAGATTCTTTATTAAGTTTATTACGTTCTATTGAAAATTAATTAATATTTTATTATCAATCAAATTTCTTTAAATTTAATACCGTCACAAGAGGCGCATACGAGCTTATTATTTGAACGGTTTTTGGATTAACTTAGATGGGTATATTACTAATCGTTATCATCATCGTCTTTAGACATAATAATCCACTTGATCACCCACAATTTGTCTCTCTGATATACCAAATCACTAGTTACAACACTCCGAATAAGAGAGCAGAATGATTTTTTATCCTCTCTACTTCAGATTTCAACTTTGGCGTCGCATTAGCGATGAAATGTCTGGAAGACTTGTATGGTGCAAGTGCTCCTCGTCACGATTCTGAGACTACGTACTTATGCGTTCTGGGTATACTTCTTTTCGTAGATGACTTTTTATGTCTCTCACGAGAATAGATGGTGTGATAAATTTATATCGCATCCACACAAATAGTGGTTTATTGTATTATTTAACAATGTATTAATTATTAAGCATATGTTTTGTACCATTACTTGAGGGATATGTTCAGTACTGAACTTGTGCAGGGCTATAATGATGATGATGATGACGAATGATATAGATAGATAGGTAGTGATACTTCACTAAGTCAACAAAATGTTTAAATATTTCTTTAAACCGAATATAAGAAAATCTTGTCACAAGATATTATGATAAAGGATATTTTATATTTAAAAAAAAATGTAACGCTACTGATTTATTAACAAATATTACTGTCAAAAATAAAACACGAAGGCGACGGATCTTGGTAATTAGCTATTAATTATTTTTTCATACTTTTTTAACATAGTAGAGCCACGCTACAGCTGAAATTGTCTGCAGCAAGGATGAGTAGTATCGACCGGGGAGACTGCTGTTGCGCGTTATTTGGAAGCAACAAGAACCGGACAGCCTTTGTAAAGCCCTTAGGGATTACATTGGTCCCAGATTCCACAAGTGGACTCCTGTGGTAACTACGGCAAATTACGAGGCAAGCTATGGGAAAGTCTATGGTCAGCAGTGGACTTTGATAGACTGTAATTGAATGACAATGACACTATTCATGAACAATAGAAGTTTTGATGTAATTTTTCTAGAAATAAGCACATTTTAAATTTAGCTGTTAATTTTACGGCGAGCCACTAATTGCGGTGTGAAAAACACATTGCTTTAGATAACTTTAAAACTTGCAGACATTTTCATTATTATATCGTGCAATTATTGGAACGAGGTTGCTCAATAATCGGCCTAGAAAAGAACAATTACTCGTTTTTTAAGTTAAGTTAAAAAAATTATACATAGTTGCAACTTTATTTGAATTTCCGTCGCGATACTTTTCAATTACGGAGACAACATTCTTTGAACATCAACGTTCAGACTATGGATTTGCGTCGATCTTGCGCAAATTCAATGGCGGGTTTTGATTTTGATAGACATCTCTACACGGGTCGTCGGGACATTTCTACACGTAGATTGACAACGCCTGTGAGGTTAATGAAGCAACATTTCCCGATTTTCAGAACTTCTATACCTTATATTTAAATTAATATGTACAATAAATACCATTTTTATACACAATTTACAAGAACTGATATTAAAAAACGAATTTATCTAAAAATCTACTAGAAAGCAGTTGGAAATAATTACAGGAATTAAATTAAAACTCTACTTATGGTCCGAAAGGTAAATCCGAAGAGTGGCTCTAACAGAAGTGACAACAGTTGTTAGTTAGTTGTGGTACATATTTTTTTATCCAAAATAAAACATGAAAAATACGAACTTTTGCGTTTATGTTTGCGGGTACAATTACGATTTATTAACACACATTTAACACGTCCTGCTCAACGCTCAAAAAAGATGAAATCGAATTTGAAAACGTAAGGCGAACCAATTAAAAAAAAAGACACCCACTTGTTTAATCATCGCGTAAGTTTATAATTTAAACAAATTACGCATACTCTGCACTTAACTTACTTTAACGTCGCATAAATGAGTATTACATTTTATGTCAAGGCACTTTATATATAAAATGATAATTAATTTGGTGTATTTTCATCAACTTTGTATTTAAATTAGTAACCCTAATAGTGATTTGTAAGTAAAAAAAATATGTATGAAAAGTATAATGCAAAATAAATAAATAAAATAAAAACAAAAATCCTAAACAATCATCCAAAATGTATGGACTATTTTTGTTTTTTATAAGCTCATGCTGCATGAGCTTATAAAAAAGAAGATAAGCAAATGGAAAAACAGCAGTAAAAAAATCGCAACACAAATTAAGCTCGTGTGTAAGTAACGCCATCTACCGAACATTAACATAACTAATTCTGACAGATGCCACTCATGTTAAAATATTTGAAATAATTTTATGAAAATCTTTAAAATTAATACGTTTTTGTGATTTTTAACACTATGTAACCACGGTATGTTACCAGGATTATGCATTGCAAGTTAAACCTCGAAATACTCACGGTACAATTTCTTAAGTATCAGCTGACATCTGTCAAAACTTTAGCCACAAATGCTCACAAAAACACAATTTATTCCTCTTCAACACACATTTTCTACTTTCCGTGATGAAAAATAGATGTATAATGAAGAAAACTATGCATTTTGACACTTTTTAGCAATATTCCATCACATATTGTCCTTAGAGCAAACATAACCTATAATGTCAACAACTCTTGCAAATGTTTATTATTTATAAAAATAGCTGTCATTTATAACTGTAAAGTGAAGCATAATTTACTAATTTGATGTAGTATTTTAAGAAATATTATGTATTCCATATGTTTTGATTTAACTCTTAGTGCAGAATAAAGCGTTTCACTTCTTAAATACATTTAGAAACCTACTTTTCAAATTATACAAATGATTTGATTTATAAAGTACTTTCTATATAGATAAAGTTATTCAGAAGTATGGTAATGACTAAGCACCACAAATTCTGCTTTTCTTTTAATTTTTCAAAATGTTGGCGGTCATTGAAAAACTCAATTTGAATTCTTACAAGAAAACTACAATTCAGTGTTTTAAAACAAATTGTTACTATATTGAGTAGAGTTCTGTTAAACTAATCTGAAGCTTTTTCTTTACAGTTGTTATACCAAACTACTTGCAATTTGTAATACAATTACTTTCCATTTCACATCAATTTTTAATTTTACCCAGCTGTCACACTTCACTTTGCAAAAACCAGCTTATATGTGCGACAAGCACTCAACACATTTAATGGCCATTTAGTCCAGATGGTTATGTGATGGAATATTGCCAAAATCAGTCTCCGACCCACCTTCTTCATGATCCCAGTCTTCCGCTTGGAGAATGTTGTGTACCGTCGTAGTTTATTATCTATGTACTCCATTTTAATCTTAACACGGCCTTTCGTCTTCTTGCCATTAGATGGAGGTGACTTCTTGGGCTGGAGTGAAGCGTACCCATCATCAGCAATATCAGGCATGGGGCAATGTTCAAGCCCGAGACTTTGCGATGGTCGCTCATCGTAGCACTGGTCTGACGGGCGCTTGACACCAGTACGGGGCACCGGACAGGGCTGCATCCCTGGTCGTAGACCTCCGCCACCGAGAGAGCTGGGCGGCCGGCCAGCACCGTACATGTCTCCAACATCCCCAAGGAGTCCCATACCGTACGGCGACCCGAAGCGGGGCTCCCGCGCTCCGCCGGGCGCGTCCATTATAACCTCGCAGTACGCCACAGTAACCGGTGCGCACACGCGCTATACACACCTCACCGTTCGAACGTCGAACGGAGACTGACCGAAAACGCGAAAGAACCGAGGGCGGGACTGTCGACTCGGCCGCTCGGACCGCAACTGACTTCGCGCGGTTCCGTCCCGCGCGTCTCGACTTCTATCCGTCTCGCTTTAGCGCGTTGAATTAGTGCGAGCGAGGAGTGAGATATTAGCTCACTGAGTAGCGTAACCCGACACATCCGTAGGAAACCGGGAACTTGCGAACGTTTCAGTGCCCGAAATCCGTATGAAAATAGAGATTTTATTTTGAGTTTATTTCGTAAATAGAAATAATAGAGTCGGAAGCACAACGAGGCGCGCGCGGCACGAATCGGTGGGCTGGCCGCCAGCCATATTTAGACTCGAGTCATGCCAAATATGGCAATGGCGGTCAAATGGGGGCCACTGAAATCCCTCCTACTCGCAGCTGGCGATTTTCACGTCTAATAATTAAAAACTTTGTCACGTCATTTATTGTGCGAGTCTTACCTACCTGTGAGTGGAAATACTGCCTGAACGAACCTACAACATTTTCAACGTAGCAATCATTTTCTAAACTATATACCTACCTAACAAAGATAGATTAGATTACCTACACAATTTTCATGAATTTTATTGATATAATATTATTAAATTTTCTAGCTGGTACGTGATTTTAAAAACAATATATTAGAGATTTAGAAAAAGGACCGTAACCAAAACATATTCTGTTTTTTATTGTGTTCGTTCATACATTGAAAAGGTAGGAGGACTTAAATTTTAACCTATATTCTTTTCTTATTCTTTTTTTTAATATATAGCACAAAGTTTCTCATAATGCTTTAAAATACAGTCTTCCATCGTTCCACTTCTTCTGTATATTTGCCATTTCAGAATAAATAACAAGCCAGCCTCTCGTTAAAGATTAATAATCTTCTGTGGTACCAGCTATTCTATATTCTAGAGTTCTACGTTAGGTTAATAGGTAGGTATTAGGTATATGCTTTTAATCAGTAAGAGCAACTGCGTTTTAAGGTTAAAACATTTTAAAAGCGGATAAAATTAATCAATCTGTCAATGATATGTAAGTAAACCCACGAAAACACAGCGTAGTTAAAATGTTAATTACAGTATTCATTCCTCGTTATATGAAGCCAAGATAAATACGAAAACTATATAAAAATAAAACTCGTTCTGTTTTATGTATGTACAAAATGTACTTATTAACTATGAAATTTAATGCAGATATGCAGATTTTTTTTCTGTATTCTGTACTTAACAAAATTTCAGTGCTTAACCTCTATCACGGCTTTAGACGCTCTGGGAAATGCGATGAGGCCTGGGCACAGCTGTAGACTTTAACTTAACTAAATTTGAAAACATTTTATCTATCACATACATTCTCTGCCAAGTAAGACACAAAAAGAAACAATAAAAGGTAATAACCGCCTTCAAAAAACTAAAAAGGATGAATTAACTCCCACATTTATACGTGTTATTATTTATTTATACGTGGTAAAGCCATGCTGCAGCTATATTAATAGTATAGTTGTAGCACGAATAGGTCAGCTCGACCAGGGAAGGACCATGCTCTCACAGAATACCAGCGTAAAATAGCAGCTTCACGCTGCTGTGTTTCGTATGGCGAGTGTAGAGAACCGGAGACCCTTTTTACTGGAAAAGAGGCATTCCATCTTAGTGTTCACGGGTGACAACGTATCTGCATTTTGATTCGCAAACGAGGATAAATGTAGATGTCTATGGGCCACAGCAACCACTTACCATCGGGTGGACTGTGTGCTCGTTTGTCACCCTATCCTATTAAAAAAAATTATCCTACACCTGATAACTGCATTCGTCGCATTCTCTCGAAATTTAGTTTTCACTTCGACCAGGTGTGAACTGAACATATTATGTTTTTTTTTAATTATGGTTATAAATATTGTATATATGAATGTTATGTAAATATACATTAATGAGAAAAAATATCTAAATAATCGCAGAGCTTCGTTCTCCATCTTTAACATCAGCCCGTAAAATTCCACCGTTGAAAGTGGACCTTTTCAAATTTTGCATTTTTAGTCTCAGTTAATAATAATTTCACCATTATCGTTACATCTTATTAAAAGTCCACCGCTGGACAGCCTACAGAATAGATTGTCTCATATTATATATTTGCAATAGAGGCCACGCTTGACAAGTGGGTTGTTATCCATCTCCTAGTTTAGGTCCCTTTGTCGCCACTTACGATACCGACGGGACGATATGGGGTAGTGGATACTCTTAGACCTATTATTTTTCACAAAGTATTTTATACGTGGTAGAGCCATGCCGTAGCTATATTAGCAGTATAATTGTAGCACGAATGGGTCGGCTCGACCGGGGAAGGACCACGCTCTCACAGAATACCAGCGTAAAATGGCAGCTTGATACTACTGTGTTTCGTATGGTGTGTGTAGAGAACCAGAGACCCATTTTACTGGAAAAGAGGCATTCCATCTTAGTCCTCACGGATGACGACGCATGTGCATTGTGGTTCTTTATTGAGGGTAGATGTACCACTTACGATCAGGTGGATTGTGTCCTTGTTTGTCACCGTATCCTATAAAAAAAACACTACACGGTTAAATAATAATAATTTTATATAGGAGCACGACTACGAACTGTATTAAATAGCAGCGTCAACTGTCGCATACACAATACGCTCTACATTCTACTACGATCGAGCCGACCCATTCGTGCTACAACCATAATATAACTGTAGCGTGGCTCTACCACGAAAATTCTATCTGAGTACGTATCATTTCACACCTGTAAGCACGCCTATTGATTTTTTTTAATATAATAACAGTGATAAACGAGCACACAGTCCATCTGATGGTAAGTGGATGTTGTGACCCTTAGACATCTACATTTATCCTCGATTAAGAATCTCAATGCAGATGCGTTGTCACCCGTGAGGACTAAGATGGAATGCCTTGTTTCCACTAAAATGGGTCTCCGGTTTTCTACACTCATCATACGAAACACAGCAGAATTAAGCTGCTATATTACGCTGGTATTTTGTGAGAGCGTGGTCCTTCCCCGGTCGAGCCAACCCATTCGTGCTACAAGAAGCTCTACCACGTAATAACCTAAATAACCTAAATTGTTCTGTCCCGCAACCGTACCCATTAACGTTCAGTTTTGTACTACACTAACGAAATTAGCGGTTTATTCTAAAAATATCGGAAGCCATAAGATCTTTCTGGCAATTCCCATAGCCGCCTCTTACGACACCCGGGGGAGGAAATGGAGTAATGGATTCTGTTACGCTGCCATTCAAACAACAATGTTTATTTTCCTTAAAATTGATGAACAACATATTTGGAGTGGATAAAGGGCATTACTCCGTCTTTTGTAATCCTTATCTATACATATAAATAAAACTGAATTCTCTTTCTGCGAAATAACTGTCTTTTATTGAACTGAGGGGGATATATGCATGACATTAAGACATGAATAAATATTATAAATTTTTTATTCTGTCTGTTAGGCTTTTTTTTATATAGAATAAGGGTGACAAACGAGCACACAGTCCACCTGATGGTAAATGGCTGCTGTGGCCCATAGACATTTACATCTGTCTTCGTTTGTGAATTAAAATGCAGATGCGTTGTCAGCCGTGAGGACTAAGATAGATTGCCTCTTTTCCAGTAAAAAGGGTCTCCGGTTCTCTACACTCACCATACAAATACAGCAGTGTTAAGCTGCTATTTTACGCTGGTGTTCTGTGAGGGCGTGGTCCTCCCCGGTCGAGCCGACCCATTCGTGCTACAACTATACTATTAATATAGCTGCAGCATGGCTCTACCACGTATAACTATGTAACTATGTATTCATTTATTTATTTATTCATTACAGCTTACCAAAATTAAATATTTAAAAAATATATAATATTTATTAATTACTCTCTTATTAGGGGGATATTGTTCATGGCTGGTAGGCCACCGCGGTTTTATTATTATTTTGAGTTGTCCAGAAGATGCTGCTGCCCATATCCTGCTTCATTTACGTTTGTCGTCTCTTACGACACCCACGGGATGGTAGTGGATTTTATATATGCTGCCACTACACGGCTGCTACTGCCTATTGTTCATATATTATAAGACCATAGTTCAATCATATATAGGTAAGATAAGAGATCGATACACCTCAAATCTTCTAAATTAACAGAGTGACATATGAGATAAAATCATCCTATTACGATTGTAGCCCATGAAACTTAAGCTTATGTAAGCCCATGCACAACAATCAAGAAGCACTGGCGCAAAATACTTGCACATATTTACTTCCCGCGTATTTTTTTATTTGAAAGCTGATGTTTCTTATGTGGTCCCATATAAATTTAATCAAGGTCTGGCCAATATTTTTTGAGTTATTCTTAATAATTTATATTGAAGTTAAACTTCACCGCACGTGGACCCCACGGACCGATAGTCTCTACAGCAAATGACACAAATATGTAGTCATCTCTCAGAGACTCTTCACATCTTTTAGTTCAGCTGCCTCTGATATTTTTGAAAATTAATTTGATTCTATTTGGATTTTAAAATTTAAATAAAATTCAACGCAATCACCACATAACAGAGGTGAAACGGTTTATTTTTGTGGCTTATATGGCCAAAAAAACAAACCAATAAAGCAATATATAAGGTGCAATGATGTTCGTATATAATTTAACAGTTATGGTTTGATTTCTTTTAAGTTAGTTTAGAGAAGACAATAAAAAAATTATATGAATATACGTATGCTTATGTATGTACGTATATATTTGTATACATGTATAAATAGGATATCTTGTTATAGTTTATTTATTGTATATATTATTAGTTAAATGTATATATAACGTAATTAATTATCATTTCTATTTAGTTTTTATTCTATATTGCTACACCTACTTCAAATTCTCACCACTCCATGGG